GCAGTGCATCACTGACCAAAATGGCGAGAAAAAACATGCCTGTCCCTCCGGTCCACGAAAAAGAACCGAAGCCGAAGGCGATTCCCCCTTCTAAGTTTGCATCTCAGTTACCAGCCCATGTATATATAGCTCATGGTTAATCGTTTTTCGCTAGAACAAACACCATCAAACCAGGGCCGAACTTCCCTTCGTGACCGAACGACTTAGAGTCCCATCCGCCGAACTTACAGGCCTAGAACCAAGTAGACCAAACCAACTAGGCCCTTGGGAAGATCCAGGAAGTGTTGTAAAAGGCCCAATGTTTTCACTGGGAAGATCCATAAAAACATCGCAACAAAGGCCCATGTGTTTATTGGGAAGTATCAAAAGCCCAATGAAATTTTCACTGGGAATATCCAGATGTTATCAGATGTAAATTTAACAAAAAAGGCACGGCCAATGTATTGAATCGCCATTCATTTCTCAGAAAACGCCGCCCATTCTCTCACCCGTCTCACCTCTGAGAGTTGCTGGCAACGTTCATGACACTCTTGGAGGCTCTGTGACACATCCTGGCGACGTCACCGGTGCTCCGTCGACGTCCGACGTGTCCGACGTACCTGTCCGAAATGACCCAAAGCTCGGGGGATCTGAGCAAAACCAAAACCATGTAGGACACCTCAGACATGGTGAGGAAGGAGTTGTACGTAGTTGGGAACATGGGGGCGCCAGTATGTACCGTTTGTTTTGGTTCGGGTCGTGTTCCCATGTTTCGTACTTGAAGTCGGGTCGATGAGCACGGAAAACTCCATGTTCGATCTTCCTTTTGGCGCCTTCTCTCTTTCCGCCATGTGCGATTCGTCGAACTGGAAAGGGGGATAGATCACCCCGAGCCACATATGGGTGAAGTTTATGGAAGACATCCTGGGTTCAGGAAATAGACCAGTCGACCCAACCCGGAGTCTCCAAACAACACACCGAGGTCCTTCGCGTTTCGGTCCTATCGAAAACTGTGCGAAATCAACGTTCACCTCTGCCTCCACCTCGGATTCACTCCAACCACTCAACCACTCAACCAACCACACAACCACAGAACTCAACCACTCAACTGGCCTTCTGGCAAACTGAACTCAACCACTCAACCACCACGTAAGGGGCTGTGGGCTCTGTACAGTATGGAGAGCTATGGAGATCCACTTCAATGCGCCCTTCGCCCATGGCGGTCTGGCATGGTCGTAAACCAGTCTATCCAGCCAGCTGGCTGCCGGTCTCTGACCCAGAGGTGGTTCATCCAAAAACAACACTAAGTGGCAACAACACACGAAAAGAACCTTTCTGAACTTCCGATCCCTTTTGCTGACTGGGCATTGATCAGCAAGTTTCCCCAAAAAGGAACGGCCCCGTCTTTGAACGTTTGATCCCCTTAGATCCCATGACTCATTTTGCCCCGGGAGTATATTCCGCCACCATAGGCCGCAAAATGAGTCTTTTGGACTTTAGAGGACAAGGTTGTTGGTGGATTGCATGGGAATCTCTAGAAAAAAACACTTGAGGAACGTGGAATGCTGTGGCTGGATCCGCCTCATTCTTTAAATGTCTTTAATCCAACAGATTGTGCGTTCCATCCATCTAAGTGACCAAAAAAGAGAACATAAAACACATCCGCAACACCAGCATCGCCCCATGGATCCACTGCCTTCAGACTTACGGCTCCACCGATCGCACACACCGGCTCAGCAGCTCTGATCCCGCCTCCATCCAGGCATCATGCGCCTTCAACGCTTCCTGGGGTTCTGTGAGACCTTTGGTGGATGAACAAACTTGCACAGCATTGACTTTTGCCAAACATCTTGCAACCACCTGAAGCCCTGTCAAAAAAATATTCCAACATCACAGTATAGCAGTGGAGGACCTGGCATGTGCGCTACAAAATGCACCAGGTCCAGGCAAACACCGTGATTGTTCCCCAAATCTTATCAAATCTTCCTGCGGTCAAAACCTGGGTGCCTTGCTTGACCCCAGAACATGTAACAGATCCACCAGAAAATGTAACAGATCCACCAGATCCTTACAGATGCAGAAGGGATGTCAACCTCCCAATGGTTTGGCGTCAGAAGTGCCATGAACTCACAGCCCGCACCGCTGCTCCGACACCCAAAGGTGGAGGACACCCAAAGGAGCCCGGAAACGAGCGGAGACCAGGTCTCTTCGGATTTCCGCCCAAGGGGCGTCTGGTTCATCTTCGGGAAACTGCTCCGGAACCACCCAGCGTTGCCATGACCCCCGACGCTCCCTCACTGCTTCCGTCGGCGGCCTGCATATCTCCCATGTCCAAACGCATGGTGGAGATCTCGGCAGTGACCGTGGCCTAAGGTGCTGCCAGCCGTCGCAAGGAAGAAATGGTTGAAGGAAGAACAACACAATCATGCCAAACACAAGGGGGAATCATTTAGTTAAGCGGATCGCAGCTACTGCAGTGTAGCGTCAAGGTAGAGAGAACATCCGCCACCTGAGATTGCTCAGAAATGTATAGAAATGGAACATTGAGATGCTTTGAGGGTACAAACACAAGTACCGTACGACCCCTATGAAGCCTACACTCCACGCTCCAAGGGTCCGCCTTGACGCTCTTGGGGAATGAGCCAGAGTCAAGCTACCAACTACCTCATCTGCAAAAAATCACTGAGATAGCGTCTCTCCAACTGAAAAGCTATGGAGTATCAACAACACAACTGCATCAACACAAACTACACCAAGGACATCCAAGGACCAATTAAGCAAAATGTACCTGCCCAATTCATTGAATATGTATTGTCTCCAAAGCTTCTTGCTACCAACAAGCGAGACGATCGAGCAACCCTTCCCATCAAACTCCCATAAATTCCCCCTCCAGGTGAGACCTTCTCTTCACCCAAACTGCCAAAAAGAAGAGAACACGAACTCCCAAGACGAACTCCCGCTTCCCCAGCCCCACCCCAGCCTCCACTCTCTGGCGGGAGGTGATGATCGAATGGGTGGAATCCACCCGTGCCCGCATCTCGTCCAGGTCGACGTTCACCGCGTCCATGGCCGCCGTGAAGTCCTGCCAGCCAGTCCGGCACTGCCGAGAAACGGCGGGTGGTGGAAGTCGGGGGTCTGGGGCGGCAATCCTATGCCAGTCCCATGGAGTGTATGGGATATAGTGACCCCATATTGTACCGTAAAAAAGGTGCATTCCCCTGAAAAAGAATAAAAACCTTTTTTCTAGATGGTTCCTATATATTTCTATACGTGTTTCTACCAATCATCATGTCTATCTCTATCTATTTGGGGTTGGCTGTAAATTGCCGTACTCTGCCATGCAATCACATGTTGAAATTTAATCTTCCGACCGCAGCTTTCCGGTGCTATCATGTGACTGTGGCGCCCAAATCTGAGGCCAAACCAACTTAAAGGCATAATAAAAACAACAAACACTTGATTCGTTCCACCTCGAAGTGGATATAGACTTCGAGGACAACTGCAGCATCCTACAATTGGAGGTGTCTCTTGCATCAACTCCTTCATGAATGGCCAACACGTGAAGATCAAAACCAATTCCCCCCAAAAAAGCAGTTTCTTCTTTGTCAGCATAGAAGAACGGATAGATGAACCGCCGTTTTTCCGGGCCCAGAAAACAGCAGCGGAGCTCCTCCGCCTGCTGTTTTCACCTCCGTGATCCCATCCGCCTCCATGTCTCGTTCGCAGGAAAGGACGATCCGCTTCACTTGCGACGAATCGCTCTTGGTCGCATGCAGGAGGTCCTTCGGAACGTTGGGTGGTCGGTGCGTGAAGGGCCGGAAAGGAAGGAAGGGCACGGCCGTGTGGAAGGCTGTGGATGTGTGTGATGGCCACCTGGTGATGGCAAGGTTGTAGGAGTGCGCTGACGTGTCGGTGCAGTTGTCAACATCCATCAAGTTGCTCGATTGTGAGCTATCATATGCTTTCACTACAGTATATTCAATGGTGCTTCCAAAGTGCCACCCTGAAAAGTTGTTTTTGGTGGAAAAACAAAAAAAGGTATGAGCATGTCTGAGCCTTTGCCCCGTCTTGAGCGAAGCAGCTTCAAAGCGTTACAACCAAACATCCTGCATTCGCCACACGGACCGATACAGCTGGCTTTCTTCCAACGCGCTGCTTTCATTCCAATGAAGGAAACTCAGCTCATGAACCTCAAATCCGTTCTCCTTCAGCTCACTCAAGTCATACTTCACGGTATCCAACTCATGCGACAAGCTGTCCATTCCAGGAGCTGCGGTCGGGTCACGGGTCGAAACCGGAGGAGAGGTCTCCGAGCTGGCGTAGTCACGAGGTCACTTGGTGCCTCACGCTCCTGCAAGGAAGCTCCCCCCCTCTGAGGGCGGGGGGAAGCTTCCTTGCAGAAGTCGCACCAATGATTTGCTTCCAAGATTTCGAGGGAAACGGAGCGTTGCAACACAACTTCTTGGGATATTCACTTCACGCCCCACAACTCTGTTTCCACCATGCAAGTTAAAGCTGCTGGAACTTCAATCTCACTATATACACCAAAAAACTACATGTATATATATTATATATCATACAAATAATGAAAGAACTGCAATATGAAACTGTTGCAGTCTGGCAGCTTGCCATTTCTGAACCATTCTCTTCATCTCTACCTCCACCTCCACCTCCACCTCTCTCTCTCTCTCTCTCTTAGCTCTATCTACTTTCAGTCATCTCTGAATTCACCAGGCAACTTCGGCTGCTCTGCGCCTGTTTCCCCACCATAGCGCCTCAGGTCTTCATGGTGGGTGAATGTGGGTGGTGAGATCAGTTTCGATGAGCGAACCAATCCCAAGAGGAGTTCAACCGAGCGTCCAATACCCAAATTCTTGAGCTCAGCCCCCCAAAAAGGATGAGCAAGACCTGACCTACACCCTTTGTTGTTGCCCCAAGGAGATCACCTTGGGATCGCCATGGATCGAGAGTCTTCACACGAAACCGCGCTGATCGAGTGGTCGACCGTGCCGTGCCCTTCTTCACAAGTGAAACACCTGCCATTTGGCGGTGCTTTCTTCTTGTGACAAGGAGAACAAGCCCCTTTGCGCCACCAACAACACTTCCAAGTAGCCATTGCGAGCTGCAGTCATCAAAGCGGTTGCCCCCTGTCTGTCTGTCGCATTCGTGTCAGCTGCAGCCTTGAGCAACAACCGCACCACTTCCAAGTGGCCATTTTGAGCTGCAGCAATCAAAGCGGGTGCCTCACAATGGTCTTTCGCATTCGGGTCAGCTCCAGCCTCGAGTAACAGCCGCGCCACTTCCAAGTGGCCACAATGAGCTGCATCCCACAAAGCGGTTACCTCACACGCGTTTCTCGCATTCGTGTCAGCTGCAGCCTCGAGTAACAGCTGTACCACTTCCAAGTGGCCACGATGAGCTGCAGCAATCAAAGCGGATGCCTCACACGCGTCTTTCCCATTCGGGTCAGCTCCAGCCTCGAGTAACAGCCGCGCCACTTCCAAGTGGCCATTTCGAGCTGCAGCAAGCGGATGCCTCACTTTCGTCTCTCGCATTCGTGTCAGCTGCAGCCTCGAGTAACAACTGCACCACTTCCAAGTGGCCATTTTCAGTTGCAGCAATCAAAGCGGATGCATCACTTTCGTCTCTCGCATTCGTGTCAGCTCCAGCCTCGAGTAACAACTGCACCACTTCCAAGTAGCCACCTTCAGCTGCAGCAATCAAAGCGGTTGTCAATCTGTCGTCTTTCGCATTCGGGTCAGCTCCAGCCTCGAGTAACAACTGCACCACTTCCAAGTGGTTACCTTGAGCTGCAGCCATCAAAGCGGTTGCCCCATAATCAGTTACTGCATTCGTGTCAGCTCCAGCCTCGAGTAACAACCGCACCACTTCCCAGTGGCCACCTTGAGCTGCAGCCATCAAAGTGGTTGTCCCATGTCTGTCTGTCGCATTCGTGTCAGCTCCAGCCTCGATTAACAGCCGAACAGCCGCACTACTTCCAAGTGGCCCCGAGCTGCTGCAAGTAGCAAAGGTGGAGGCTTGATGTCGATGTCTGAGTCTGCTCTGGGATTGGGATCCAGTGGTTTCTGCAACAGCTCTGTAACTTCAACAACTCGATTGTTCAAACATGCAAGGCGTAAATCCTCCCAAATGGTACCCTCAGGCGCGGCAAAGTCCAGGACTACCAACTGCACACTTGGTATTTGTCTGAGCAGCATGTCATCCGGAAGCTCGCCCATGTCTTCACTCAAGAGTCTCTGGCGGAATCTTGAGTATCCAACCCGATCGGCCAGAAGTTTCTTCAGATCACTAACATGTTTTCCACTCTCCACCATGCAGCCCCATTCCTCCTCATGAAGCTGGGTCACAGTGGCACCTGAGAGTGCTGTAATTTCTATTGCAAAACATTCACTGGGCCAAAACGGCTCGATTTGCCAATATATATATATAGAGATGGTCATTGATGGTCCACATTTGCCAACCTTGGGGCGGTTTGGGGGTCGGGGCGACACTCTTGGTTCAGTCCTACCAGTCGATGCCCAAGGGTTGTTCTCCCTCCCTGAGCGCATGAACTGAGACGCCAAGTGGCTGTGAACCCATGAACGAGATCTTCTTCTCCACATCTTGAGCCAAGGCCTTGGGTCGTAGAGGCCTGAAAGACCTGGGGTGTTGCCTGGGAGGCCTACCTTTTGAGCATTTCAATCCGAACTGGACGTGAACCACTCACGAACTGCCCCTGAAACCACGAGGAACATGGTCCTCCGAACTCGGGGCCGTGGTGAAATCCACTTCCCTTTCGACCGTGGGTTCAAGTCTATGGTTCGGTTCGACTCGACAATGTCTCTGCAGGGACGGGTTTCTGAAAGATCCGCAAACCATTACACCAATTCGGTGTGTTCGTCCTCCAGTGCTGTTTGTCACACAGTTCCAGTGTGACACAACGGCACCCCATTCTCACACCACGCACGTCATGTCGCTCGCTCTCGATGGGTCAAAACACGAAGCCCTGGTGCACCATGTAGCTTGACCTCCCTTCGTTCGTGACCCAGCGCCAAACATCGTTACATCCTTCCCTACCAGCTGCCAGCTATCACCCCTGCCTGAAGCTGTGAAGAGACTTGGGCTTCAAAGTCCGTCATCCTCACCGAGGAACATCAAACAACATGCACTGCCAAAACAGGTATAATAAGATGCAGCTGTTATAAGATGTTATAAGCGAAGATCACTGTATCAGGAGCCTCCGACAAATGGAGACCTGAGGTCGGGCCTAACAATCCTCAACTATAACCCTATAAGTAGTGTGGGGCTTCCATTGGTCACCCCTTGGAAGGTCCTGGTAGATGTTCTTGTTGAAGTGAAAGTTGCTTGCCAAGTGAAAGTACCATCGAATGCTGACATCTGAAACAGGCTCGTTTTTACTCCACAGCTGAAACAGATTCTGATCCAACCGGCATCCCTCGACTTTTCTCTAAATTGTCATCCTTATAAAAGCATATAACACAATCGATTTGGCCTGCAGAATCGGGATTTTGGTGGTTTCGCCTGCACATTTCTTCCGTGTATACACTTCTTTTTGAGCAAACCGTCCATCTCGTACTACATGCCATCCATCTCGTGTGCCAGCCAACAAACCGGGTTCCCATATGAGTTCCATGATTTCATCGCCGGCTTCGGCGGCCACATCGAACGCATTGGTCCAGAACTCTGAGCTCACCGTTCCGAGGCCCCGGTCTCGTTCCGTCTCGAGTCCGTCCGCCACCACGAGCCGCTCCGTCCTGTTGGTCATCTTCCTCAGCAGCTGAGTGTCACCAACCTGCCGTGGTCGGAAAGGAGTGAAGATGGAGCGAATCGCGGCGTGGGTGGGTGGGTTTCCGCCTCAAAAGAATCTGTTTCCGAAGACGTGAATCTGTTTGGATCCTTTTTACCACACATACTCAGCTTTTCCGAAAAAACATGGATAAAATGAAAGGAAGCTTCCGCAGTTTAGGTAAGGTGAGGGAGAAAAACTATATAAGGCAGGGCACAACTCTTTCCAGAGACCAATCCTCCGATCCAATACCGGACTTCTATACAGACCCCAAAATAGATCCCCAAACACGACCGACGTCTGTCATATATATATATATACATTGACCCCGGCATGGCACCAGGGGTGGGCCTGGGGCGGCAGTCCTATGCCAGTCCCAGACTACTCGTGTCTGGGCGATAGACCAGTGAATCCCACGGAACGCCGGAACGGCCGATTTTCAGCCTTTCGGCCGCCTTCAGGATGGCTGGTTCCTGGCTTGGTGCTAGGCCGCTTCCAGTGGGCGAGATGGTGCGGAAGCAAAAATTACCTCCCAAAGGCAAACATGAACACATGACACCAAACCCAGTTGCTTTATATAAAGCATGATGGTCAACCCCCAAAACTCCAACATCTTCACCAGTTTTTGACCTTTAACTTGAGACAGGCTTTAACAGGCACGGCGAGTTTGGTGCAAAGCGGGCAGCTTGTGTTCAGTGCTTTCAGGTTGGGCATGGCAAAGCACCACCTGTTGAACCTACTGAAGCACCACCTTGACCAGCTATTTCCAAGCTCTGAAGTAGTCTTAACAAGTTTGGAAGCCCCAAAGACTGTTTATTGTTTATTCTTATTGTTCCCTGTATGTCAGGAAGCCGGAAAGAGGAGTCGCTTGAACAGCAAGGCCAATCCACTCATTGATGCTTCATTTTCTTAATCTCGCTTGTGTGGTCTCGCAATGTCCCTCCTTTCCTGGTCTTGTGGAAGTGTCTTGCTCCAAATGGTGGAAGCACTCGAATCAAACATTCCCACCTGATTCTTCAAGCAGTCGATCTGAGAAGCTTCTGAAGCGTTCCTCATGCAAGAGCTTTCTGCAACGAAAATCATGCAACCCAAAGATAGGAAACAACTAGATGCCTGAAAGGACACTCGAAAAAAGGGGCGGAACATAGAAAGAGACAAAGAGTCAAAAAGAGAGAGAGAGAGAGAAAGACAGACAGACAGACAGACAGACAGAAAGAAAGAAAGAAAGAAAGAAAGAACGAGCAAAAACTCAACGGTTTTCAAGGTGGGCTTAAACATGTTTGCCTAATTTTTACATACCTCACACCTGATGCCTTCCGATCCCGAGGTTGCGCCCCTGAAAACACGGGCCTTTGGCCTCGAAGGCCGGGCCGGGCCGGTTAGGGTGGTTGGACGAAATCGGTGGAAGACCTGTCTTCCCACCTAGTCAACTGGACATGCTTGGAGCTCACATGCTGCCAACTGCTAAGTTGATGGCGTTCAGCTGGTGTTCCGCGGCCTGCGGGAAGAGGTTTAGATGACGGCTGAAACTTTCACTCCACAAGAGATGTGCCATGGCCATGTTCGCCACCAAGTGCGACAGCACAAGCAATTCTTGTTGAACGTTAACGGGAGACCAGAAGAGTTCAAGCCAAAGCCACTTTGAGACCACCACAATTACAAACATACAATCATACAATCAGTAAAAGTGACTTTATTTCGATGGAAGAGTCCGTGATGTCCGTTTAAAGGGGATTCCCTCGATTTGGGATCCGGCAACTCTTGGTGAACGGACTCATCCTCGGGATGTCCATTTTCAGCGCGAAAAGGACCCACACAACGCCTCTGAGCTCTGCTTGAGGCTCGACCGCAATTCTCTGGATTCCGCCTCAGGCTGATTGGCATGTCGGGAAAGCCAAGTACAGAAAAACAAACAAACAAACAAGAAAGACTCCCAAGCCGGAGATCCCTGGAAAATAAAGTCAAGTTCACCGAACTTTTGTTAGCTGTTACCCCCGCCGCTGCAAGTCAGATGCTTGCAATGTCGTAAGTAACCTTCCACCTGTTCTTGCTTAGACACCATATAACGATTATATATCCACTTTCTCCTGGGTAGGACAGTCGGACCGTCGATGCAAATGATTTTTGTTGCCCTCACCACCTTCTTGGTGACCGCCAGTCATGGGACCCTTCCATGTTGGATCACCCACTTTCAGGGACCCGTTAGATCTAATTATGGGTAGATAGATCATGATCGATCTGCTGCCTGAGTTTCCCGGGCGTGTCCAAGGTGTTGAACCTATAAATAGGATCTTTCTATAGGGTCTCCAGCCACAGCCAACGGTTGCAGCGTCACCGTTGGAAGGCTCACCTCCGTGTTGGGCATTTGTCGCAAGTTCCAGCGGTGTGAATGGGTCAAGACCTGGAGCTTTGGTCCACCATTTGCCGCAAACGACCTCACGTCAGTAGGTGAACTAGTCGGTCTCCTGGTGTCAGTTCCCCACCAGTTCCGCCAAAACCACCGCGTGGCGTTGCGGTGATGTGCCAAACACTCGTCCGTGGATTGATGTGCTTGATCACAGATTGATGTGTGTCCACCCGTCTCGCGGCCTCCACAACCTCTGAGGCATATTTCTTGACATCTGCAAGAACCTGCTCATGGCGGCTCACAAATTGACCCGTTCGGGCTCCCAACGACCTCCGCTTCGGTTCGGTGGGACTGGGACTGGTGCCAGGGGGGTCGAATAGCACCAAACCTGAGGATATGGGACGATTGGAGCCCTAGGGTGAATGATCGATCTCGCAGAGTCTTTAAGGCATTGTCACAGATTTCAGTAGACTTCGCTTCTGGGGGCCAAAGCCTTTGTATCAAATGTTCAAACTTCCGGCTTTACAACAGATTGA